CTGCAGTGTTGGCAGCTGCCAGTTTTGGGGCATGACAGATACAAACACTTGCTCAGACAAAATTAATGTTCTACTTCTTCTGTTCACAGACTGTCTTCTGTGAACACTCTGTCAGGGAATCTTGATTTTGGCTGATAAACTGCTTCCTGAACCCTTTTGTTGAATTAATTTTGTTTGCATTGCTCAGCATTTCACTGGGTGAGGAACTGGCATGCAGATGTTGATTATGCTCCTCTTCTACAGCGAGTGTATCACAGAAAAAGATTTGAAGCTGTGGAGGGCTGTAGCCTGAAATGCTCTAGCAGGCACAAAGTACAGTCTGAAAGATGCTTTAGACTTTGATACAGGATGGAACTGTATCATGTTCTGTGGAATTATGCTGGGAAGCAAGTGTTAGCTCTCTGATGCTGAAATGGCAAAAATGAACTTCATGCACAGTCCTTAACAGTGGAGAACAGAGGGTTGGAAAGAGTAAAATGTCTTTAAACAAAGTTGAAGATAAAGCCTCTGTTGTGACCTTGCTACTCTGTGTTTTCCAGTAGGAGTTATTAGCTTCAGGGATGTGTTTCCTTGAGAGCTTAGAATCCCAGGAAAAGAGGCACCCATGGGAACATTACAATATTTTGCATGGAAAAGGAGATGTGAAACAGAAGTGGCAGAAGAAGGAGTGTTCTAGCATTTATCTAATTGGCCCTTTAATTTTAGCCATTCTTTGATACTGCTGCTTGTGAGTATTACTTACTTAGTGGGTAATGAATTTATTTCAGTCTCTGAGCACATAAAAACTCTGGGGTGGATGGAGAGCCAGGACAGAGAGCTGTGGGAGGTAACAAAGCAAAAACCTGCTTTGTTAGTAAATGCTGCAGAATTTTTTAGATGGTCCAAAAACCTAGAAGTGGTAAAAAACAACCCTCTAATATCACTGTGTTGCCTGTGGTTAAACTGTTGAGAAAGTCAAATATATAAGGACATACTGTAATGATTATTTTTAGATATTTCAGTGTGGGGGTTTAATATTTGAGGTTGGCAGCCCAGTATCTGGTCTGAATTGCAACTGGATCTCCACAAAATGTGTATTTGTGTTGAATGATCAGGGGGTTCTCTGCTCTAGTAGTTCAGTAGCTCTTGCTTTAAGAAGTTTCTCATTTGCCTCATGGAAACTTCAAGGTTTGGGTAGATAAAATAGTTACTGATTTCATCTTTATTACATTCAAGATCAGACCAGGAGATGAGGCTGACTTTCTGCTACTTGTGACATATCTAAATTTTTCAGTGTGACATTGAATGGGGGTTGCATTGGGACAGTATTCTCACTCCTCTTACAGGAAATGGTTAAAAAATAATTTCTGCACATCTGAAAAACTAGTCAGAAGAGAAGAGTTTGTTGTTTTGTCTCGACTGCCTGATTGTGGATTAGGCTTTGGGCTGTCTGCTTTAAATATCAGAAGAGATGAGCTCCCTTTGTACAGGCAGAAGACAAAAAGTCTTGAATCTGCAAAAGCTGGTGAACTGATTGCAACTCAACTTGTGGGTATTCTCTTCATAGCTTTTGTGTTCTAGCGTGCAAAATTTAAATCAAAACTTGTGTTTTTGATAAGTAGTAATATTCTGTTTATTAGCTATAATGTCAGTGTATGATTGTTATATCAAGTTTTGTTAATACATCAGTTTGGATTGTTTGTCTTGTCAAGAACAAAATGTCAGTTTCAATTTTCTTTCTAGGAAATGCAGAATAATTGTTGATGCTGAGGAATGAGACTGACATAAAAGTATCCAAAAGTCTGGAAAAGCTGAAAGTTACAAATGTTGTGGCATTTTACTTTTTTTTAATTATTAAAAAAATTTCATTTATATGTTTATGCTTATTGCTGAGTGAAATTCTTGGAGGTTAGGTTCCTGGGCTGAGAGGACAGAGTTATTTTCTGGAAAATAGAAACTCCCAGCAAAAAGAAAGCCATGACTAGGGCACACATTTTGTCCTGCTGTAAGTCTGTTACTATTGCATGGAAAAGCTTTCTGCAGAGGACAGTGAAGAATGAGCCAGTTCATTCTACTCTACAAGAAACCACCTTTGGTATGGTCCCTGTAGAACTTAGATTTTCAAGGTTGCTGAAAGGAGGCAGCATTGTGAACAGGATGGGTTTCTGTGATGAAAATATTGTAGCTAATTGCACAAAGTAATGTGTTTTCTACCACAGGGAGCATACAGAGCCTGTCTGAAATGTAATTAATGTTCACTTTAATCTATGATGTGTGCAAACAGGTGTTATTCAAAATTTTCTTATATACTTTGTAAAACACTCATGTAAATGTGTGTTAGGTTTTTACATCCAAGGGAGCAAATGTTCTTTTTAATGTTTGAATGAAACCTCTACATTCAAATGCTTTCACAAATTAATAATGCAAACTGTAAATTCCTTAATTCTAAATTGCTTTTGCTACAGCTAGTATTTAAGTGCAAAAATATTGAAAAGTATTGCAAAACCAGTCTTTTTTCAAAGATTGCAAAGGAGGTAGGACTGCTTCACCAGTTCGGGTGCATTAATGCACATTGTAAGCTTTGCTCTTCTTGCCTCTTGTAAAAAAACTCCATGAACTAACTTAAATTAGAGTATGCTATTTCAAAATGAAGAGATCTCCTTGTGCTAGCAAATCTACCAAATCTACATCCTTTCTCTGGTGAGGCAGTGTTGAATGATATAATGATTATATATTACCCTTACCTTGGGTAATATGTCATCCTTAAACCTTAATGCAAATATGAAGGTTTTTCTTTTAAGTGCTGTCAGTTCCTCCTAATAGTTTGGTGCCTTCGAAGCAAACCTCAGCAAGCAGAAATCTGGAAGATGAAATTTAAGTGCCATGCCTCAGCATGAAGGCACGGTGGAAAAATAAATGCATTCTTGTTTAGTCTGAACTTTGCCTTGATTTTTTTTCTAAACATTCTTTGAGGAACTCTGCTCCCTAATTTTCTTTTTGCCTCCTTCCTAATCTCAGAAGATAACTCTGCCATGTTAGGGGGGGAAAAACTGTTTCTGTAAACTGCTGGTTGTTTTGGATCACAGTAACGAGGGAAATCAGCAACTTCAGTGGCTTAGCTTTTCAACCATTGCTAGAAGTAGCTAATAAAAATATTTTCAAGGTAACTTTTCTGTAATATCATTACAGTTAAAAAGGAAAAAGACATGCAGTAATATTCTCATGGTGGGTGTCATGCATTTTCTGCTGTGCTTTGGTCAGGACACCGTGCTCAATGCAGTTCCTTAACAAGCATAGAATGGTGGTACTTTGTAATTTGCAGTTGCTAGAGTTTGGGTAGTTTTTGTTAATTTATTTAAGAAAAGGTAAAACAAATAAATGTGTGCACAAATAAAATATCTCCTGAGCTAGAAGCTAGCAGAAAGCTTTTATCTCAAAGCTTTCAAGGCTTAAACTGTGGAGTTTAGTGCTGTTTTGGCAGCACAAGCTGAAGTTCTTGTATTGGAAGAAACTGATTCAGCTTGACTTTTCTCCTTTTCTTTCCCCAAGAGAGTGGTGTAACTGTCCTGCAGGGAATGTTTTTTGGAAGTGATGCTGTTTGCTGGTTTTGTGCTTATTTATGGATTGAATTGGGCTTGAAATGTTCAAGATGTTTGTTAAATTGTTAACCCAGGGAAGTGGTGGTGATGTTGGATTGCATTTTTGGCAGTTTATATATCTAAAACTGAGTGGCATTTCATGTTGTGTGAGAAAGAGAAGAGGGCAGTTCTGTGTCCTGGCAGGATTCCCTTTTTCAGACATCCAAGGCCATTCTGAGCCAAGCAGTGAAGCTGTGAACTTCCAGAGGAAGCTCCTGAGCACTCCTTCCTGAGCAGCCTAAATGGTGCTTTCTTGTCACCTCATCCTCGGCAGGGTTAGGGTTTGCTGAAGGTTTTACAGCCACTTTTGTATTTTGAGTGCTTTTTTTTAGATCCATTATTTTGAATTTCTGTTAAATTTTAAGTGTTTCCAAAGTTGAGAGATTCCCCAGCTTCTCTGGGCAGCTTGTTGCAGTGTTTCACCACCCTTGTTATGATAAAAATGTCTCTAGTTCCCTAAAAATGTTATTTGTGATTTCTTTCTGTCTTATATATCAGAGAAATAGTCTAACATAGAAAATAATTACAGGCATGACCATCGTTATATCACTTGAAATGTCAGCCAAAAGGTTTTATTTGAAAATACAGCTTATTATAGTTCCTGTTTATTTTTAAGTATATATTTTTTCTTTTAAAACATGCACAGTCTGTTACGTTTGTATGAGGAAGAGTCTGTAATGACTTATCTCTAATTTACATCTTGGAAAAACATCTTTCCTCTGTTGTGCTTTGAATAGTTGAATGGTTTTTAAAAGGTTTTTTAAAATAATAATTAATGTGGAAGGTTTGCAGCAGCATGTTTAAATACAATGACATTCTTCTGTCTAAAAGAAAACCCTAGTAAAATAAGGTTGCCCTTTTTTATGAGTACTCATTCTTGGAAAATTTGTTTTTCTGTTCTCAGAGTATTTGGCTTTTGTATGTTCTATCTTCAAGAGCGTTTTCCCATATTCCAAGGTTTATTTAAATTACTGCTCAGAATGTTTGATTTATTGAGAAAAGTGGGCTATGCAGATTAACTTGATTTTATAGCAGAATGCTTGGTTTATAGCATTTATTTGAGATTAGGGTCACTTCTAGTAGAAGAATATAGTTTGTGTAAATCTGTGGTAAAAGCATGGGAGGTTTGCAGAAGCCCTTAACCTCTTGAACTTTCCCATGTCATCCTATGAACTCTGAATCTATGGCACTGTTCAAATCAGGAAATGTTTAAAAATGAAAAGCCAAAACCCTAGGCTGCTAGATTTTGTATACAGAACATCTGGGGGTTTTGCAGTTTAACAATCATCCTAATCCTCATAACATAAGCAGGCTATTGTAAACACTCATTAATTTATATAAAGTAGCATATGATTTCAGTAGTTTGTTTTCTTGTTATTTCAGCTTTATGACAAAATAAACACAAAATCTTCACCACAAATCAGGAATCCTCCAAGTGATGCTGTACAGAGAGCCAAAGAGGTAATGGCTTTAAAATTTGGGTTTTTTTTACTTTGAAAAGTTGGTTGTATTTAAACTGTAATTTACTTTTCTTCATTAAGATGTGTATTCTGGCTCATTATCTGAATTATTTCTGGAATATTACCATTGCTTACCCAAGTTATATAACAAGTTGCATAAACTTGCAGAATTCCATTATCTGTATAAGGATTATGACTATTACTCAGTGTAATCATTTAACCTTTTCTTCAACAGTAGTGGTGTTAAAAGGAACACTCCTGTTTGGTAATTGCAGAATCTTTCCTGTTCAAGTTATTTATCTGGACCAGAAATCTGATGTTTATGAAATTTAGTCGCAAAAAGAAATATTTTGAAGTGTCAGCTTTTTTAATTGAAAAAAAAATCCCAAGTTTATCATGGGCAGGTCTAAGAAGAGCGGACATGGAAATGCAATTAAGGTGGCCCTCTAAGACCAAAGATGGACACAGATGTTCTTAATTCTTGTACCTTGCAAATAGTATGTTGTCTGCTTATTTATGGCAAGTAGTAAAAAACCCAAACCCATATTGTATTATGTTTTATCAGTCAAAATTTGTACAGTTGTTAGGGGTTACATCATAGGAAAACTGTTTCTTGTGCTTTTGAAGGAAGAAGACTTTAAAACTCTACATAATAACTAAAGTTACACTGATAGATGCCCTCAAGTCCTATTCTGCAAAATTTGCTGTCAGTTAATCCTGGGGGGTGCTTCCAGATGGAAAATACTCTGCTTTCATTGTCCAACTGGCTGCATGTGAAAATTAAGGTGTATTAATCAGGTTGCAGGCAAATGAGTTAAAGCTTTACTCCTCCTTCCCCAGTGATAAAGTGGCTCAGATTTTATAGAATCTGGAGCTTGAAGGTGGGGTAGCAGATGCCCCACCTAGACTTGGTGTCTTTAACAATTGATTTTGTGAGTGTTTTTAATTCTGCCTTTAAATAATTTCTTTTAATAAATTGAGCCCATGTAAGAAAGCACAAGAGATCTTATGTGTCATCTGTTTGCACTCCATTCCTGTCCCCATGAATTCAGCTGTTGGAGGAATGCTGTCAATTGAAAAAAACCAAAAATTCCTTCAAATTTCTGCTGTAATCTCTTTCAGAGAGAACATTGGAACAAGGTATTTTATTCTCTTGGGGCGGCACATTCTCTTAAACCCTTCCCTGTGTCACAAATGTTGATGTGTATAATCATTTGGGGATATTTTGACTGAGCAAGGAGGGGTTTAGTTTCTTCAACAGCTTTAAAAGAAAATTACTATGGGACATTTCTCCTCCTTATTTTACAGGTATTGGAAGAAATTTCATGTTACCCAGAGAACAATGATGCAAAGGAGCTAAAGCGTATTTTAACACAACCTCATTTCATGGTAAGCAGATCCTATTCTTGTTAGGGTTTTTTTTTTCTAATTTTTTTATATAGTCTTTATGTTAGAAAACTTCAGTGAATTCTTAAAATCTGCAAGGGATGGAACTGCACACAATACACCTATTGATAAGTGTTTCTAACCTGCTGCTCTGGTAAAAGAATTAGTATTGGTCCTCATTACTGTGCTGAAAACTGTAACAGTTTGGAGTAGTGTAATTATGGAGCAGTTTCACTGTGGTTTTGGAGGTCTGTGCTGCATATGGAAAGAAGAATGAATCCTTTTGGATGTCCATAAATAGAGCTGGGATGCCCCTTTTCCTTTTTCCAAAGGTCTTCTTAGGATAAAGATGTGTGAATTCATTGCAAAATAAGCGTTCATTTAATATTATTTTACAGCAAATCAGTAGTTTGTGCAGTCCGTTGAGTTTGTGTTACATATCAGCACTTACTATGTCTGTTTCCCCAATCTGATTTGAGAGCAATAATTGTCCTAAATTCAGGGATGTTACTGCTTTTTAACTTGGTTCAAGTTGCTGACGTCTACTAATTTGAAGGATTTTTTTTTTGCTTATGCTGTAGGTGAAGTTCATAAATTGAGAAATAAACATGTTTGCTTAAATCTGCTATACAGTATTATCAGCTTAAAATCAAGAATTTACTTTTCCCTACTCAGCTTCATTTGGAATCTGACAGGTTCATTTTATTTACTTTTTTGTGTGTGTAATTACCCCTCAGTATTGATAAAATGTGAAGCACTGTTGAGAAAGAGCATTTTTTAAGTATAAATTATTTTCAGAGTAGGCATCAACAAAAGTGATTCTGGTATGTAGAAATTTCATGTATCAAATCAAGTGACAGGAAAATTGAGTTGAAAATCTTCTTTTTTAGGTATCTCTGTTCCCTGATACACTTATAAATCTCAAACCATTTGTCAGAATTCTTTTGCTACAAATTTATGAAAAGTATTTTTTCATAAGGAAGAAGTTGCAATTCCATAGCAAGTGCTTTTGATGAGGAGTAATTTCAGCAAGTGAATCTGTGATATCCCAGGCTAAATTGCCAGTTGCTGAAGTCCCATTATCCCTTTTCCCCATCTTTCATCCTCTCCCTTGTACTTCTGGCATTCATCTAGAACTGCACTTTAATGTTGCCCTCAGCTGAACTAGTAGAAAATTGCTCCCAAAAAAATCCCCAACTAACCATTTAGCAAAAAGAATTTAGGATAATAGGGATGCTGCCAGAGCCAGAATGAGCAGGGGAACAGAAACAGTTTGTGTTAGGAATTAATGTAAAGCAGCAATTAAACCAGCATAAGTTGGTGTGGATCCACACCTGCAGACACCACAGTCTCCAGATGCCAAAGGAACAGCTCCATCCTCTCCATCATTCCCACTCCTGCTCCCAGGTGCCTCTTTATGGGTTGCAGATTTTAATAAAATTATTCTTACATATGTTGCATTCTGCTAAGCTTCCCTTTAGATCAAAAGCCTTTGTATTTTAAAGGAAACTATTAGGAAAAGGAATAATGGTGTAAACCAATATTGTTAACTCACACTCCATGTATTTGCCAGGTGTTGTGCAGAGCAATATTCTGGTTATTAATGCACATTAATTCAGTAATCAATTAGGTGTAATAAGTAGGAGTGTGCATTAACACCATATGAGAATGGACTATTTTAGTATTTTTTAGATCTAATATGTATTACTAATCAGAAGAAAAAAGAGTATAACGTGTCTTGTTTAGTCCACCACAGTGTTAGTGGGTTAAACTGTGTGCGGGCCTTCACAGAACCAAAACCAATAAAACATGTTTGTAACAGATCTTCGAGGTGTACTGTTCTAATTTTCTTTTGCCCTCATGTGCCTTATGGCTGCAGAAATAAATTATCCATTTATTCTGTGCATGTTTAACATTTTAATTTAAAGAAATGTATGTAAATTTTGCATGAAGGTCTTTCAGTAGATAATTAATTTAAGAAGTCTTAAAGCATTGTCAAGTACCTTTTTTGTTATGTATGTGCACATTTCAAAGAGCTTTTATTCCATTACATGACTTTCAGTAGTTTTTCAAATATGCCAGTTTCATGTGTAAAAGATTCTATTATATAAGTTTAGTATGTTGTAGCAATTCAGATATTTGCTAGTAGACTTCTGCTTAATGACATATTGAAGGTTTATCCGTCATCATATGCCTTCCTGTGCTGTTCTCTGCAGTGATCCTGCAGTAGAGTAGAAAGCAGTTGTGCTCATTAAACTAATTTTAGCAGGATTATCATGTTCTGCAAAGGGAAAACAGACAGGGAAAGACACATTATCTAAATCAGCAGAAATGCCTGAAAACAGGCATCTTTAAGTAAGGTCCAACAGGAATCTTTTTATTAAATATTTTCAATATTAAATTGAGGTTGCTCTACCTTAATGCATTTCTGAAGTAGTGTTCATTTTTGTGAACATATTCAGAAGTCATTTAGTATAATTACAGACCTTTAAAAATGCTGGAAGTGCCATATTTTAACCTCCTACAATATGAATATTATGGCTAAAATAATATAAATCAGGGCAAATATTTGATGTGATTAAAATGTAAGGACCTGGATTACATAAGAAATGTAATATTAAAGTGTGGAGAGTGTAACAGATACAGGCAGGGGCACAGGAGCACCTCCAAGGTCAATGTGTCCAACCATTAACCTACACTGGAGTACCCACACATAAATGGACACACAAATAAATCAAATTTTAAATATTATGTGAGTGGTTTGACTTACTTACATGGTCCAGATCTCTAATATAAAATGTTGCTTCAGTAGAGCAGACTAATGCAAAGGAATTGTTGGGAGTTTGAGCTTAGTGGCTGACAAAATAAGATGAGAAATAGGAAATGCAGATACAGGTTAGTATTTAATTGAAAATAGTATATATGTAAGTGGGCTTGAAAGACTGGGAAAATGGAAGGGAATATGGGCAAAGCATTGTAAGTTTAGGGAATTTTGTTCCATCATTATAGTGCTGACTTCCCAACTACAGTTTCAAATTGATTAGAGAAATGAGCACATAAATGTTTTAAGAAATTACCTTTTATAACATGGTATATTTTAGAAGGGACAATGAAGCAGTATTTTAGCAGTTTGCTGGTTTGCACTCTTAATTTTTTTTAAGCATTTTGAACTCAGGGTGGTGGTGCCGGGTCCAATTTCTAGGGGAAGGGGCCAGAATGGAAGCAATTATGATAGTAAACAACAAAAAAAACAGTATTTTCTTATTTCAGTCAGCATTGATCTACAGTCTGCTTTTATTAGAGTGAAATACCATGGGATCTGAGTAGCTTTCCATTTCACTAGAGTAATTATTATAGAATGGTTTGCACAGAAAGGTAGATTCCTGATTCTCTGTCTGTGCACATGAAGATGGATTCACTCTCACCCTGCAGGTGTTGAGAGGACGAGGGGAAGGGAGGCAGCATCATTCTCATTGAAGCACCTACAGTCAAAATCACATTAAGTCATGCAGGTTTTAGAGTCTCAGTGTGTGTAGACATTTTCAGTCTGAAAGTTTATCGTAGACTCCTTTAACGGAAAAGTTCTTCAGTAGGAAATGGGGTACAAATATCTTGGATTTCCTTGAAAAGCTTCCAAAAAATCCTTACAAGGAACGAGCAAGGGACATGGGAGATGATGGAAATGTGACTGTGGTAATTTTGGTAATAATTGTATTAATCATGATACCTCTCAATGTGTGCAGAGATTAATCAATAAAGCCATTTAGTCAAAAAAGAAAGGGGGAAATGTTGGAATGTTAGGAGACACAAGACAGATAATGGACTTTAGACCTGGTTAATATAAGAGATTTGATCGACAAAATGCCTTGGCAAAAGCAAACAGAACTTTAAAAATTAAATCTAGATAGCAAGAAGACTTAATCAGACAAGTTTACCAGAAAAAAAATCCTATTAAACTCGCAAGCAAGAGATGTTGTTATATGCAGAAGTTTGTGTATGTGATTTTGATAACCTAATCATTGTAGTAGACATTTCTAGTCTCCCTGGAGTAGTATATAAGTGTTTGTATCCCACAATAAAACCAGATGCTGATCACCGAGTCAGTCTCCCCGTCTCTCTCCATCACCAACATGACATTTTGTTGTGCTGTCCTGCAGGCCTTACTTCAGACTCACGATGTAGTGGCACATGAAGTTTACAGTGACGAAGCGCTGAGGGTCACCCCTCCTCCCACCTCTCCCTACCTGAACGGGGACTCCCCGGAGAGCGCCAACGGCGACATGGACATGGAGAACGTCACGCGCGTCCGCCTGGTGCAGTTCCAGAAGAACACAGATGAGCCCATGGTATGGGGGGAAGCTCACTCTTTCCCTCAGATTTGCTAAAGACCAGTCTTGTGATAATTTTAGTGTCATTTCCTCCCTTTGAGGTGGGGTTGTGAATTAACTGGAATGGTTCAGCAGCCACTGTAGATGTTTATCCTCCTTGAAATGCTTTGTGTGCACTCACACTGCTGCTGTGCCACTAGGGCTGGGTTTGTTTAAAAGCAACCTTGTAGTAGTTATACCAAATTATTCCTTAAACCCAACTGGAGCCTTTGCACTTCAGTATAAAGTCACATTTTTAACAAACCAGATCCTTGTATACTCACGTGTTGAAGTATTGCATCCTCACTTATATCTGGTCTTATTGCTCATCTTGAAGTGAGTGACAAAGATTTTATTTTAATCTTGAAATTTATACCCTGCCTTCAAACTTTCAGGAAACATGACTGTTCTTAACCACTCAAGAATCACAGTGCTTAATATTTTATTTTAAAAGTATAAACATTTCTTTTTTCTAGGGAATCACTTTAAAAATGAATGAGCTGAATCACTGCATTGTGGCAAGAATTATGCACGGAGGAATGATCCATCGGCAAGGTAATCACATCTCATGAAGAGTTTTGTCTTCACAATTATTTTAGATCCTTTTGCACAAACTCTTCACATTCTCCTGATTTTGATTGCTGCTGTTCCATAGCAGTGTCTCTCTGTGCCTGCATGGACTCCTGCTGACTGCTTTAGTTACCTTCCAGTTGCAGATGTCTGCCAGTTTTGAGGTGAAGGCCCACTGTGTTTCATTTAGGTCTAAATTAGGATAATTACTGTCTTACTACTGAGTATAGCTCAGCAAGAGATGGAAACACCAGTAATTTTGGAGCTGTGCTTATTTAATCCTCTGTTTAAAAAAAATCCTTACACGAGTAGCAGTACTTTCCCTTGCCAAAATGAAAGAGCTTTGTCCACACAGTTCTTGAGGATCTTTATATTTTGGTGTTGAGAATCACAAAAATGGGATTTGAAATAAAAATATTACTTGGGCCTAGATTCTAAATCTTTATTTTCAGTTTTCAATACCGTAACAAATCCTGCAAACATGCTTTTTCTTTCTCATCCACAGTCTTCTTTTTGTCATTTTGTGTGTTCAGATCAGATGTCCAGAAGTAACTGGGTTTTGTCCTGCTTTAAACAGATTAACTTCCCTACTAGGTAGTTTGCTGCAAGTTTGAATTGCAGCCATGAAAGGGTTACTCCAGTTTTTTCAGACTGCCATCTTTTTCTTGTGATGAAAACAAAAATTTTCTTAATTTTTCAGACCAGAGTTCCCTCTAGTCTACTGTTCTATTTCAAAGGAAGCTAGGAACAGGTAATTGGGAAGACAAAATGTATTCACTGTCTCGCTGATATGGTAAAATCTGTCAGGAATCAGGAAAGGCAAAAGTTTTAATACAAGCAAAGATGGCAGTTCAGAGAGAATTCTGTATGTTTTTGGAGGACCCTCTGAATTGAAATTTTTTTGGCTTCTGAAAGTGAGTTTTAAAAGGAGATTGCTCTAAGATTCACAGGAGCAAGGTTTTCTTCCAGCTGTGCTTAGGTAGTGGTGATGCTCTGTACAGTATTGCTTCACATGACTGTGTTCCATAATGGGGCTAATAAAACTTCTAAAACCTGCTAAAACTGAGTAAAATATCCATTTGTGCCCATTAAAACTCTTCTTCTTAATTATACAGTATCTTTTATTTCTAAAGATTTGGAAATGTAACCTATTCTCTTCATCTAGCTAAGGTAGTGCTTCTGCACTGGGTATAGTTTGAAAATGAGCTTTACTTCTGTGTTTCTGTAGTATGGTCATCTTTTTTTAATGTTTCTAATTCTGTTAGTGCTCTAGATGCCTCTTAGCTTCACTACTTCATTCAGCATACCTGCATTTAGAATATTTTTACTGAATAGAACAACACAAGTGTAATTTGACAGTGATCTCAAGCACCATCTTTGAATCCTTTGAATCCTATTGATAGGGTCTGTGCCTTGAATTGGTTTTGGGGAGTGCTAGGTCATTTTTCTCTGCTGTCTCTATTTGCTGTGCGGAAAACTGCCAGGCAATATCAGCAGTGTCTGGATAATAAATCTGCTGTGAGGGTTACAGGAACTGTATAATTTCAGGTCCAGCAATATTAAACACAAACTCTGCAATTCCCATTCACAAAATTGTAGCTGCTGTGAAGCTGTCTCGTGTCTCTAGGCCAGCTCTGTCTAGTCCTGGTGATTGAAATTGTTCTTATTCCAAAGGTGGCAGAGTTGAAATGGGAAGAAAGGCTTTTAAAGATTCCATCTACTCACACCTTCCAGAGAATTCAGTAAAAATGAAACACCAGTGTCAGTCAATAGAAATTGTCTGTTGTTGACATGTCTGCCAAATGTCCATTCTTTATTCCCAGTTTTTATGTATACTTCTCCTTACAGTCATGAACATAACAACATTCACTTCTGTCAGAGTGACAGAAATGGGAAATGATGCAGAAAAGGGGATTTTATTTGATACGGGGATGTTACTGAATCTGATTCTCAGTCTAATATGTAATTCCATCCATGTTTTGAATAATATGAGAGAATCTTTATACTGTTCCAAGCCATATGGTGGTTTTGATTCAATATTATTGTTTAGTAACAAAAGCATCTTTTTCCTGTTTACTGAGAAGGTGCCTGGGCATCTCTTGCTGTGTGTTCACCGCACTTTGAAAGACAGATTTGTAGCTAATACAAAGGCCTTTTCTGAATCTAGCAAAAAATTATTTTAATGTTGTTTTCTGTTTATACCTTTGTATGAATAATAGTGCTGTGAAAATTATTCAATTTGTAGAAACTGAGGTGATTGTGTCTTTGTTAACCCTGCAGGTACGCTACATGTAGGAGATGAAATCAGAGAAATAAATGGAATCAGTGTGGCAAATCAAACTGTAGAACAACTACAAAAAATGCTTGTAAGTGCCTGGAATTTTCCTCATGTCCTCTATAAAAGTGCCTATCTTATTTCGACAAAACTTTTGTGTAACTGTGTTCTAACTTCCCCTTTCTCTTGTGTTCTTGATAGGCTACATGTCCATGCAACAAAAAGTTCTTTCAGTTTATAACAGTCAGGCTCACAGTTACTGAAGTTACAAATTTAAAAAACATTACTTTGAGCTCAGTCTGTCTTTTTCCCAGAAAGCTCCACCTTTGACCTTGCTATTAGAGTCTGTTTGATATTTCCATAACACTTGTTAATTTTTATGCATGCAGCACTAACCTCGACATCTTGGATGGTATCACTAATCCTAGACAAGCTTCAAGGGAAATAGACTTTTTTGGGGGTCACAGTAAGCCAGCCAAAAAGAGAGAAAGGGGAGAAACACTGAAATCTCTTGAAGTGATCTGCTCACATTTCTGTCGAGATCGAGTCCTGCAGTTGTCAGCCACGTGGTATTCACGAGTATTCAGATTGCTATTTAAGAAAATATGTTGTCACAATCTGCTGCTATTCTGGAGTTACTACTTGTTATAAATATTCTTATACAATAGTAAATGCAAACTGCAGATGCCATGTTCTGTTCTGATGAAAGACTGTTTTTGAAATTCCTACGTTCAGGACAGTAAAATGCAGTTTTCCAGAAACTGAATACAGTTCTGCTACTTAACATGTAATAGGAAGGGGAAGAAAATGTCAGTTTGGTAGAAAAGACTTTAGATGACAAGAATGTGGCTACAAAAAAAAAGGTTAACATGGAAGAAACCTACACATCTCTGAATCCCTCACAAAAAAAATAGAATTCTGGATTCTAGGCATTCAAAACCTGGTCAGATGAACTAACTGCATGTAATGCGTGTTCATCCTTTAGATATGGACAATATGAATGTTTGTTTATGGTGATATGACAACTTATCCATAGCATTTTAGCTTTTCATACTTGGACTGTGATGTTTTCCTTTCTAGCATTAACAATTTGGAGATTTTTTTCTCTTCAGTGTTAGTCTCAAAGTGCTTCTTTTTTCACAGAGGGAAATGCGTGGAAGTATTACCTTCAAGATTGTGCCAAGTTATCGCACGCAGTCTTCATCCTGTGAGGTAATGAACTTAATGAGCCATCCCCTTTCTTCCTCAGTCCTGTAACTAACTGCCTGCTGATGGCTGAATGTTCCTGCTTTCTGGGAAATTGTTTCTGCCTGTCCTGTTAGATCGCACACCAATTTTACAACAAAGATAACGGAACACGAGTAGGTCCCACTTACCTACTCAGCCCTGCCTTCATATTCATCTCATCAGCACCTTAACTAACTCTTTACAGCCTATCAAAGAAAAACAAAATAGGAAAGGGGATCCTCAACTTATGCATTTAGGAAGCCCCTTTTTTAAAATATGACCATTTAAACTCATACTTCAGTAAGTCTATTAAAGTTCCTAAGCTGAGGAGCGATCCTCCTCTTTTTTAGGCTTTAAACATTATATTGCTGCTTTGGGCTGTTAAGGGTTAATTGAAAAACCTGTTTCTGTATAACCCTGTTGAGGTAAATTTGTGATGGTCGTGTGTAACAGTTACATGTGGCTTATTATTATGTTTCCATGAAAAAATGGTCTTTGTCACTACAGAAGTAAAACAGATTTCAAGTTGTTGCTGAACTAGAAACTTGGTGCTACAGCTTTTGCACAGCAACATTTAATTCCCTTCTGCTCACAAAGTTCCATTCCAGATTGCAGCTGAAGGGAATTAAATTGTCTAAAATGGCTACTTGAGAGCCCCCGTTCAGTGGGAGCACACAGATGGCATTTGCAGCGTGTGGCTGCTGCCAATCTCTGAGCCGCACGCTTTCCTGCGCAAGCAGCTCCCGAATTAGAACTCCCCAAGTGAAATCACAACCCCTGCTGAAGTCAAGCACCTTATCTTAATTAGAGCTGTGATTTCACCCTAATTGTTCTTATGGCTCAGCAGATGCTAGAATACACAGAAACTGCTATTGTGGTTGTCAGAACAATCTGTTTTGCAAGGAAAAAAATTACTGCTTTTTGGTTGCCTTCGGTTCTTCTAGTAGAGTTCAACAAAAACTAAAAGATGTAGAGTTTGAGAGGTAGAAGGTTTGACAGATTTTCACCTATGAGGCCAATTTTCTTGACATAAATATAAAACCAAAAGTTTTTAATGAAAGGCAAAGTCTGCTAAAAAAATTGCAGTGTGCTGACAAATTCATGTATTGACTTCTGTGCTGCAAAGAGGAATAATAATAAAAGATACCTCACTTCTCAATAATGAAATACAGAAACTGGGGAAACTGCAGACTTGCTGAGAAGATGATTATTTGGAAAGAATCAGCATACAGCTTTAATTAATACTATTGGTTGTCATTTTAGTAATAGCAGATAATCTCTTTTCTTTAGCTTTTTCTTTTAGGTTTTTCGTGACTATTTATTTATTTCACAGAAGAATGGAAAATTGACTCTTACCTTCCTTTGGGAAAAAAAAATGGCTAAACTAGAAATATGTGATCAAAGAGAAAAAGAAATCATGTCTAATTATCCCACTTTGTAGCATTTAGCATTCATTAAGTCAGAGATGGATGAGTCCTTTCCACCTGCTCAGCCACACTAAGGCTTTGGCTTGATTTTCATCAGTGACAGGTGCACCCAAAAGCCCCAGTGTTCTTAAATCATTCTGTTAAAGCATCATTCGTCCTTTGGTACAAAGAGAATTTTTTTCACAGAATTTTTCAGGAAGATGATTCAGAAAATGAATCAAATCCTTAACCATTGAAAATGGCTAAAAATCAATGCTTACTGACAGTACTAACACAGAAATCTTGCTTCTCGTGCCCTCCAGCAGGATAAATAGAGAGATATTGGGGGCTCACTAATATAATCTTCCTAGTTAAGGTATTTTTTGGCAACGTTTCAGTCTATGTTTGGTTTCCCCCCTCCTTCCTTCATGAGACTGGTGCTCATGTAGTGTAGTTTTATAAGAAGAGGAATTTAAAACAGAATTGAGGACTGGGGACTTTGAGGCTCCTACCAGGATCACATCATTGGATTGCAAAACATCTTGTTAATCTTGAATAAGAAAAAACACTACATATTAGTAGAATCAGAGATGATGTGCCTTTTATTTACAATGTTAGGCCTTCACAAAGGTGAGGGGGCATGGAATGTTTCTTTTTTAATAACTGGGATTCAAATTTCACTTGCCGTATTTGTCTTGTTTTAGTCATTTAAAATAAATGTTATTTTCTAAATATTGAGCCATTTCTGCATATTTATAGGGAAGTCTTTTTCCTAAGCTATGTAATTCAGGGTTTTTTAGGCAGTTTGCAAAATCTCAGCTGAATAATTTCAGGGTTTTTTAGGCATTTGTGGCTTTTTCTGCACCCATGCCTTCCATTCAGTCACCAGACATTCTATTTAATGGAGTCCACCTTGCTTGAAGATATAATAATTTCGAATTCACTTGTGTAAAAATTGGATCAGCTGATGTGGTGTGAGGTGACCTGTTTAGTCACTGGCATGGCAAATGACCTGAGTTAACACACATATTTAGATAACAAGGGGCCAGGGTGTTGTTTTCTTCATCAGATAGCAGGAAAATTGCAGATTTGCATAAACATGAACTTAAGCAACTATTGCAACACATCCTTTATGGCTGATGGCTATGTACACTATTTATGTGTTTCATTTTTATCCCAATGAGTAAGCATTTTGCTCTGGCTACATTTGCATTCTTACTTTGAACTGACAGAACACCCAAAGTAACTTTTTATAATGTCAGATATGTGAGAATGATAAGAGAAGTACTTTTTTTTTCTCTTTTTTTCTTTAAACAAAAAAAATACTTGATAAACATTCTTTATGTTTCAGATTGCCTTTGTGAAACTCCTAAATTGTTTCATTAAGAAGAAAAGCCTTTATATGTGGGAGGTTTTAAAAGCCTGGTGGTAATCACCATGGATTTTTTCCTTTATCTTTCATGGTTTCCATTATTGCTCAAGCATCAGGATTTTTTATTGTCTTAAACCTTTTTTTTAAATTTGTATTAAAGATACTGACAGATGTGTTCTTTGAGCAAGACAGAAATGTTAAAGTATTTCCAGAATTTTGGAAAGTCTGTCTGTTTTTATTGGAGGTTTTGGTTTTGTTGGTTTTTTTTTGTCTGAGTTTCTTTTCTTATACCTGGCAACAATGTCATTGATCCACCTATTTTTGTCAGTACCTAATTTGATCAGGTCATATTTATTAGACATAATTTAGTTCTTCTGTATCGGTTTGCATCTCAAATACATTAGTTTATCATTCATAAACCCAAACTAAAAATAGGGAATGAACAGGAAGCTGGGTTTGCTATCATTTGGAAATAATTGTGGCTGTTTCCTCTAAGGCTCTGGCTCTGTGGCTCTTCAGCTGAATAGCGATGACCCCAAAGGTTTCTGTGCTTTTTGTCTTGGGGCTGGAGAAGTCTGGGAAGTCCAGACAGTCAAGTTTACTAAAGTATAATTACAATAACCTTTCTACATTATTTAGAATCATTGGATCCTCCAAGTGGTTTGGTTGGGTTTTTTTTGCCCCTGTTCCCAGGAAAAGTAGGTCTTCTGCTGATTTATTGGAGAAACAAACTCACAACCAAAACTGAATCTTTCCAGGCCAGTCCTAAGCAGTCTTGTTATTCTGAAAGGATCTCTGTGCTCATTGATTTGTCTCATTAGATTGTCCATAATACAGTTTTTCTCCTAACTTTTGAGCCTACTATTTTCTGAAGGAAAGATCTGTCCCTAGAAAGTTAAGAATCTAAATGCCTTTGAAATTCTGACAGAACAGCCTAATTATGTAAAAGTCATACATAAAAAAATGTCTCTTGACTAACTTGTTAGATTATTTCTGACAGTACTGAAATCAGCAATAGCACTGAAAATGTATATTTTCCTCAGTATGTTATGATGAACATTTGCTTTGAATAGTAGGCTGTCTTGTGTTGGGAATTGTTGGAGGAATACAAATCAAAACATTCTCAAACCAAGAAAATTTCCTTCAAAGGCAGAATCCTTCAAGACAGTCCAGAAATAGTGGCGTTCTCTAAACTTGTTTTTCTCCACATGATTTGGGTGCTTGCATCAGTTTCCAAAGTTTTCCCTTGCTAAACCAACACTGACAACAGATCATAACAAACCATATTAAAAAAAAAAGTTAAAATTTATTTATTTTTCACCTCTTGAATGTGAGAAAATAGCAGTGACAGAATTGCAGAGCAAGCAGAAAATATCTTTGTAAAGCAAGGAAGTTACTGCCTTTTTGAAAAAAGTTCTTACGGTTACAATTTGATTAAGGTAATGCTGATAATCCATACACAAAAGAAAAAAAAGGAATACTGATTCCTTTAGGCTTTGCATTTTTTTTGTATTTTTAAATATTTTTTCACTAATGAATGGTTTATTTGCTCTCATTTGAATATTTTAAACTTGTGCTGGAGTGATTTTGTAATTAGAATTAGGGCTGATTTCCCCCCCTCCATTACACATTGCAAGTATTTGTGGGAGGCAAGTTTTGTTCTTATACACATGGCATTAATCCCTGATTAGTGTTGCATGAATAGTTTAGCTCCAGGTTTTTAATTATTCACAAAATAATGGTATTGATAAAATATGACAGGGTTAAGTTTGTTTGCTTAGAGAACTGTTTTAGCCCTTTTTCTCTGCTGTCCTTGATGTTGCACAAAATGACCAGACCTTCCTAAGCTGACCTTTGACATGGAATATTATGTTCCAGAATTCCTGTGAGGGTAAAAGGGAGTTGGTTTTTGTTTTTGTGTTTTTTTTTTTTACAATATATGAGTGGATTATTTTATTTTCAGAAGAGATGGCTCAATTATCTGACCTCATGGAATTAAGCACTATGCAGTCAAAATGGCATGTGAAAAAGATGGCTCTGAAAAACCTCAGCAGAAATTCCTGCTGTCCTTCCTATGGAATTTCCCAGAGTGCTCCCTGTGTCTGCTGTCTCTGCTCTGAAGTGTGGGCCCACACTGGTAGTCTGAATCAAGGGAATTGGCTTTTTTAAAGTGCTGTATTTTGGAAAGGTTTGGTACTTTCAAGCCCATCAGAATGTTGGAGGAAAACCCTCCTTGTGCTGTGAAATGGATGAGAAGGGAGGAGAGAGAATCCAGCTTTCTCCCCAGTCCCAGTGCCTGTGAGACACTCTAGGGAGATGCATCTTGCTGAGTAGAGACTGACAACCACCACAAAGCTGAAAAAATATTCAGAAACATCTTTAAAACAGAATATGGGCCTCATTCTATTCCAAGTACTGTTCAGGGCAAAACTTGCAGGTATTTAACCAAGAGTGGTGTGTGACTGAGGGCTGGTAGCGTTGTCAGCCACCTGAGATCTCTGAAGTCCCAGTTATTAAAAAGCTGAAGGCAACATAAAAATAGTTATTACCTCAGATAAATCAAAATGCCAAACCTGAATCCTAAGCTATGGAAAAGCTTTTCAGCTTTACAGAGTTTGTAGTGTGGAAGCTTTCACAAATTAAGCAGCTAAGCAAATGGTTATAAGGCTGTGGATGTAACTGTTCTTTGAAATATTTCTGTGTTCCTGTGATAGTGTTGTGTTGTTAATGAACCTTGTGTCTTATTTCAGAGAGATTCCCCCTCTACATCCAGACAGTCCCCTGCTAATGGTCATAGCAGCACTAACAATTCTGTTTCGGTAAGATTTCCAGTTCCACACAGAGAAAGTGTGAAAGTTGTTGGTGCTCATCTGCCATTACTGTTCTACTTATCGTGTGGTCAGTGGAAAATTTTGTCCTGCTGAGAGAACCCAGGTTATTGCATATGTAACTCCCCCATTTTCTTTTTTCTTTTTTTTTTAAAAGGGCTTTTTCCAACATGCTCTTCTCATTAAAAGCCATGCAGTGAATTAAATGTTAATTACTGTACTGTGACACTTCAGTCATCCTTAAATCATTGTCAGCACTTTCCTCAAAACTGAGCAGAGGTTTAAAGAGGAAGCTTTTATTTCCATCTTGAACTTTGGAAGCAGAGTTTGAAGGAAGAGAGTAACTGTGCAGTTGGCATTCCAAGACATTTTAGATCCTTTTTTTTTTTTAAGTTTTGTGTTTGAGAGCCCTCTGGAGCGTGTACTGGTTTCCGCTATCTGAGTTAAGGAATTGGTGTGCTCTCTGCTGTCGTGGTACGTGCACATACTGTGTGAAACATGAGCCTTGCCTGGGTATGGAAAGCAAAAGGAAGTGGCTTTAAACTGCACTACAAACCAAGCTATTCCCATCACATCTTTAACACAAAGTACTTCTGTTTTGTATGTATTCAGGTAGAAAGGTGCTGTCGATCTCCTGTTCTTCCTAAAGTACATTGATGTTAAAATTCGTGTTGTTTCTCATTTGTTGTTGTTTGGACCAACGTAGTAACTACACACAAGTTTCTTCAGTGAGTGCTGTCAATATCACGAGTTCATGGGACTAGCTAAAAACAAACCAAAAAAACCCAAAACCAAGTAACTATTTCTTTAACTGTTGATAAAAATTGCAACGTATACATTATTTGTCACAAGGTAAAGTGCTTATTAATTAGTAGAATGAAAAATAATTGCATGAATGAAAAATTTAGGACATTTTTGTAAATTAAATTCAATTTATAACTTGAAAGTAGTTATAATCTTAATTCTCAGCACAACTGATCACATTATACATTTATAATCATAGGTTTTTTAACATTTATAATAGCCTCTCTTTTAAAAGCAAAACTTGATACTTAAATGGAAAAGGCATTCACATAAAGAGCCTCTTTCACTTGGTGGTGCTTTTGTGTTGAAGATGCTGAATTATTTATTAAAAAGCACATTCTCTATCTGCTTAAACTTTTTACCTGCTTTCTTCAGCTTGCTGCTAAACAGCCTGGGTTTGATTTTTCTTTAAGAAAAAAGTTACTTCTAAACATGGGTCAATGCTTTATACTTTTGTCTAACTTGCCATTTTACTGTAATGTAGTATGAATCACTAACAAACAGTGTTATGTACCCTTAAAAAGTAAAATGAAAATTTCTTCTCCTGGGTTGACTTTATTCTGCAGGACTTGCCATCGACAACACAACCAAAAGGACGACAGGTGAATAGATATCCTCCATGGGAATTTTTGTAAACTTAGCTGCTAGCAAACATCCCTGCTTACCTTTTCCCCACTCATATTCTCTATGTGCTGGACTAAAACATTTAAGCTTGGAAAATTCATTCCATTTTTTAATTTTTCTTTTTAACTCATTTGTTTGTAGCTAATTCAAAATAGCTTTTTTTTTTCATGTGTCCACATGTGTGAGAGTTACAAAATCACTGAGAATTTAACTGGAGATGTTGATTTAGTTTAGAATGCATTAATAGACTTCCTGTTGTGCAGTGACCTGTTCAGGTTTTAATCTAAGAGGAAAGCTCAAATTTCTATTTTAGCTAGAATGGAGACAAGTAGGGCAAATGTCTAAAACTCTAAAATATTGTGCTGACAAAGATCATAAAGCTTGAGTTTATCTGAAACTAATTATTAACATTAACAAAGTTTTTCAAAGAAAAACATTAAGGATAGTTTCTGTTAAGGCTTGATAAATCTGAAGATGGTCTCTTAAAATTTCAGTCCTTAGTCCCATTTTCAATGACCTCCCTTAACTTTGGTATCTTGACCTGGTGGTTGTGCAAATCAGCACAGACCAAAGATCTTCCCTCTCCAGAAAATTCCAAGAAAGCACATGGGGCTCCTCAGAGGATTCCCTTTCTTTTTGCAATTTTAAGAATTTTTTTTTTTTATTCTGCAGCCTCCAAATGATCACATACCATCAAGTGATTTGTGATTCATCTCCAGTAACTGCTCCAGTTATTTGTAGTCTTTCCAGAATCTACCTCTGACTTTTTAACTGTGTACTCAGCCTCCTTCTCTGCCAGGAGTTTTTATAATAGCTCTTGCAGTTCCATTCAAGAAGTCAATCAGCTACAGTAACTCTTGTCTCTGAGAATCTTTTTACACTGCTGTCTGGTTGAGTTGGCTGGAACTTCTATTACAAGAATGGTTTGCTCATACTTCACTTCCCATTTTTAAAGCTCTCTATGGTTTTTTCAGCTTTCCATTTTCTGCTGAAGCTGCCTGAATGTAAACCTGGAGAGGCTCCATGAAACACCTTCCAGACATTATATTAGGTTTTTATTTGCTCCTCATAGGGCTTTTTTCCCCAAAAGAAGAAACTTTGCTCAAGACAATATCAAAATAGTGGTGTTTCTGTTACTCACACCATTTAGAATTACATTATTTTTTCAATTTTTACCTGATTTTTCCCATTGAACCAGCATGTTTTTCTTGTCATCCTTGAAAACAGTGAGAGCTTGGCTAATAGATAAATTTCTATGTGTAAGGAAGTTTGTAGTGTTCTATGAGCTGCCAGTATATGATGAATAATGGCTCAAACTGGAGCAGGGACTTGAACAGCAGGGAAGTTTCTAGATAGTAAAAATATTGCTGATGTTTTTAGACCTGTATGAATAAGCTTCAGGCAAAATAAGGGATTGGCTCAATATTGATTATTTCATGGAAAACAAATGCTAAATAAACATAATTGGTTTCAAAAGATCCTGTTTCTCAAGTAATTAAAATAAATTGGGTTGCTTTTTAAAACTTAATGCACAGCAGAGCAAGGGTCAGATTTAATGTATTAAAAGTTGAGTTCTCTATTAGTCTTGTCATCTGATGCTCTCGCTGCAAACCAATAAAATACATCAGATACAAGATAGAAGTGATTAGCCATTTTAAGTTAATTTATTCATGTGTTGAGGTGCAGATTGGGTTACTTTTTAAGTGCCATGAATAGTGCTAACACTGCACAGTTACAGCTATTACTGGAGCAGAATTTGAGCAGAGTTGAAAAGTGATTGTTACAGTTTCTAAGGATATTACTTTGCAATGTAATTGTTGGGGATTTTTAACTCTAGTCCATTTTTAGTAAGAAATCAGCAGTATGTGTATACAAGGCTGGCTGAGATGCTGCAGGGTGATGTTGGAAGTTCATGAACTGTAGAAATTTATCCATCTAGGGCATGACACTCCATTATGATTTTAAGATCCTTGGGTGCATCAGGGCTCCAATTAGCAACCAAAACTGGGTGTCACTCCTATTTTTATTTTCAAGGGTTGAGACCTCAGTAACACACAAGGAAAGGATTGGTATAATATTTTAAATTGTGAAGTCAGAGGCTGAATTCCTTCTCTTCCTATTCTTTAGAGAATAACTTGCTCAAATCATGAGTTTTATTTACACAGGAGCAGACTTTTACTGAAAACCCATACAGAGAATTTCCACATTCCTCCTGAGTAATTCTGTGATAGGACTTCCTAAAAAAGTTTTTTTTTATAGTGTCTTAAATCTTAAAACTTCTCATTTTAAAGATCACTAATAAAGCCAAAGTCCTTTATAGTGTCCAGTAAAATTTCCTGTCACAGAAATTTTTAAAACATACCATGGGACTTCAGTTGGAAAATGCATTACAGATTGAGTTGCAAGGTGCTGGCTTGTGTTCTGGCATGATTTGTGATAGTTAATAAATGTTTGAGGGACTCCATGAGTTTATTACATTTTTGCTGTTCAGGTTCTGTAGAATGTAGAAAATAAGAGCTTTTGAAATAGCATCATATGTCTCCATCATTTGCTAGAGGGGGCATTTTCATTTTCAACTATCACTTATGCTTTGGCACCTTCCTCTTTTGTTTCTTTCTTTGCTTGTTGCAACCAATATGTGTAGCTGCATTCACAGATCAGATTTTCACCTGTTACTCTGAATGGCAGTGATGATACTGCAGTCTCTCTTATAAACTCTTTTTCTTTCTAGATCTATGTAAGAGCACAATTTGAATATGATCCAGCAAAGGATGACCTCATTCCTTGCAAAGAAGCTGGCATCAGATTCCGAGTTGGTGATATTATCCAAATCATTAGCAAAGATGATCATAACTGGTGGCAGGGTAAACTTGAGAACTCCAAAAATGGTACTGCAGGTCTTATTCCTTCTCCTGAGCTTCAGGAATGGTATGACTTAAGTTTTCTATAAAAATGAAACTTTTTTTATAAAAATGAAAGTTGGTTTTGATTTTATTTCTATCTGTCATACTTTTCATTGTTGTATAGCTAGCCATTGAATTATTTTATCTTTTTCTTCCTTTTTTTTTTCTCTAAGTCTATATATTGACTCAGTTTGGGTGGTATTAATTTTTTTCTCATGTATGCATAGCAGTAAGAATTACCTGCAATTTCATATGTGTGATTACATAAAAAAAATTAATTCCTGTGTTAATAAAGATTGTGCTTTCTAGTATACTGTAGGAAACTAGGATTGAAGATTGCTGCATGCAAATTGTTTATATATAAGAGGGTCAGATTAATTTCTCTTTCAGCTTCTAATGAGTGGTTTCATTAGTACTGTTTACATGCAAGTGCTGCAGGAATAGGGTTTCAGCAAGTTGTCAAGCAAAAAGGTCATTGAGGGAGTTTTAGGATTTTCTTTTCATTTTTCATATGAATGTCAAAAAGCAGAACAAGCTCACAGTGCCAGTGGCAGGCTCAGTGAACAGCAGTGGCACTGAAGAATGCAGAGCCTTTAAACAACCTCTTGCAGGAGCTGTTTAGAAAAAATTTTAAATGTATCAGCACAAATTGTGGCAAGCGAGTCCTGGACTTCAAAAGGTGTGGCCATAACTCAGTAAAGTTTAGGTAATTTAGCACAAAATACTTCATTCAGGAGTTGTTACGTAAAAGAGCTGCAGTTGTGCACTGCTCTTGTGCTGGCTAAGGGAGATTTTGGCAGAAGAGAGACAGGGGCAGACAAGACCTTTATAAAGTTCCATCTCCTGAGCTCTGTGCCAGCCCTGATGTGAGGGAGGCACAATCCACATTGCAGCAGGGTCCCTTGGTGTGCTTCACCCTAGAGGTGAACTTCCAAAGAGTCCCCCAGCACAGCACCACTTGCTCTGCAGTAATTTAGACCACAGTGTTCCAGATCTTGTGCTCTTCTCTTCTGATCTGCTACAGAGTGGTCTGAATATTTTCCAGCACCTGCCCTTCCTCCCATGCTCACTTCATCTGTCAGCTTCCATCATCTACCTCTAAGAAAATATTTCCCTGTATATATGTTCTTTGAAGTCATAAAAAAATGTTTTTAAAAGTTTTACTGTACTCATGTTCTGTATAAAAGTCTTGCTTTTGTAATTCATTCTGTGCAGCTTTTAAAGATCTTTGATTACAACAGAAAATGTTTTTTCTCCTCCTTATGTCAGGCGAGTTGCTTGTATTGCCATGGAGAAGACCAAACAGGAGCAACAGGCCAGCTGTACTTGGTTTGGAAAGAAAAAAAAGCAGTACAAAGACAAATATTTGGCAAAGCACAATGCAGGTATGAACAGAGAATGCAGGTATCTGTAACAGGTTAAATTTTTTGCAGTTTAAGCCTCACCATTAATTGTTCAGCTGGCAGTATTACATAAACCTAATGAGTTACTTAGGAAAATATAAGTAAAATTCTAATTATGCCAACATTACTCTGCTTGTTCATTGCTATTTAAGCATGGAGCTTAGTCAGTGAGAGGCAAGCTGCCACAAAAGCAGTGCATCATGGTATATCCTGCTAGAGGCTTAGATTGTTTGGGGTTTATGTTTAAAGCAGCATTAGAAGCAAACAGGATATGATTTTTGCAACCTATATAACTGTACTGTGCTCTACAACAGACTGTTCTGTAGCATCCTTGTTAATATGTATTTATAGTTACAGATTACATATGTGGAAACATCATGAAAGAGCATTTTTGTTAGAGTGGTACAGCTGGAAGTGGAGTAAGAGCCATTGCATAGTCAGTGTGTTATTTACAGTCACCAAACAGAACCAGCTGTGGAGTTTTATCCTCCTTGCAGTGATTTCTGCCTGAATCCTGAGTTGGGGCTTCTGTTTAGAGTGCTGAAAAAATGAGTTGTTATAGAAAATTTTAGAAGTGTAGAGTAAGATGTCCTTGTCAAGCAAAAGTCATTAGTTTTAGTAGTAAAGAAGACAGGCCCTGTCATTTTTGAGCTGAATTTGCTTCTTTGCTTCGTTTAATATAAAATACTTAATGTGCTGAAAGTGCTTTTCAACATCTTTCTGTTGCTCCTGCTTTGGTAGCACATTCTGTGATGCTTATGTTGTGGTCTCCTGAGAGACTTGCAGAGATTTTTATTAGAATCAGAACAGATACCTGTCCAAGCAGTGTAATGAAAGTATTCTATATTACATTAATTTCTGGGGGATTTTTTTTTCAGTTGCATTGAACACAGTAATTAAACAATATAAATCCATACTTCCAGGTATTTCTCTTTACATGCACAGTGTGTGCAGGATCAGAGCTCATAATTTGTCACTATTACAGAATATGTGTTTCCTTAAAAGTAATTTGAAAGTAAATTCTAAGAAAGCCTAAATTCTAAGACAGTAATTGTTGTTTATACTCCTTAAATTCACTGTTGCATTTAAAATGTTCACAGGTGAATATAAAACTATTTGTTACCCTGACAGCTCTCACAAACAGAGATTGAAAGGTTTAAGTTGATTCTTTCCCTTTGCTGCTGTAACACCGTGCTTGTTCTAATGTTTCCCCCTCATTGCAGTAGCACTCAACCACATTTTAATGATTATAACAAAAGTTGTTGAGAGTAAACTGGATTTTATGAGCCAAAGCCTTTCACAATACCAGTATCATCTGCTCCCAGCACACATTCCCACAGCCTTGCTCCTCCCTTCACTTGTGGCCATGCTGTGAACTGGATCAAGAACAATCCAAGAAAAACATGGATTTTTTTTCTTAAGGGCAGATACATTTCTTAATGCATCTCTCAGTGCAAATACAGAACTACAAATGTCTTGTGAGTAAGCAGGGCCTGCTACAAGGGAGTGAGCTAAAGGCAGGACAGCCAGGGAAGGAGGAGGAGCAGGCAGAACTGTAGGAGCAGAACTGGCTCAGGGATTCTCTATCAGGTAAATTCCTGAAAGGAATGTACACTTTGCAGTCTTGGCATAGGGGCACATTTCAGAGTAGGCTGATGGCACTTTGATTCACACAGTTCACCTGCCTTCACCAGCAGTGTTATATCTTTATTTGCTTTAAATCAGAGCAGGTGTTTGCCAGGAATTAGAAATACCAACATTAAAAATTATGATAATGACCATAAAAGAAACTGTTCCCTTTAGAATACATCTTCCCCTTTCCCCTAAGTCAAAAAGTTAATGTAAGCACAGATTGAAATCAAGATTTCTTGTAGAAGTGTTATTGATCTTAGTGTCCCTGAGGTACTGAGGGTGATGTCAGTAATATTCCAGGGAATGGCACCAAGTATAGGATATTCAGTATATGAATATTATGAATTGCTTTGGTGCTCATGTGAGTTCAGGTTTACCTGAGGTGGCACTGAATTCACTGAATTCTCTGAAGTGCTCTGTCACATCCATGATTGTCGGTCAGAAATATGGCAGCACTGGCCCCTGCAACCTTGCAGTGCTTCTGTTTCAGAATAAAAAACAGATCTTTTCTTCTGCTGGATCCAAAACAAGTGTAATCATTGTCAAAATGTTGCTCTTACAGGAAAGTAGAATTTATTTATCTTTTATCCAGGTATAAAACTAAATCAATTGATCAGCAGTGTGTAATCTAACTGGACTTGTGTGTTATTTTTCTCTTAGGGGTGAGACTGAACTGGGGTGCTGAGAAATGACCCAGTAAAATAACTCACAGTCAACTCATATTTGTGTGGCCAGCTGATGATTTAAGGGCTGGTGTGGCATGTTGGGATATTACTGGAAGTAGAAATGAGATTATTCTGCAAACCAGATGTAGTTTATGAAGTAAACAAGAGATTATTTCAGTTACTTTTTTGAATCAGAAGCAAATACATTCTCCTTTGCAAGAAAAATGTAATCCTGTTGTTCTTTCCTCCATGCTTCATATTAGAGTATTAGACAATTTCATGATCATGTTTTATCAGTATAAAGTCAGTTTTAAACCAAAGCCCACAGAAAAAAATGAAATGCCTTTTCCATTATTAGATTCACTGACATTTTTATAAATGCTCTAGAGATATGCTACAGTGATATCCAGATACATTTTTCATTTATTTTGCTGAAAAGTTACTGCAGGGCTTCAGAAAAGAGCAGAACATACCAGAACTATGCTCCATATTATGCATAATGTAGAAAATTGCCAAGCTTTTATAAAATATGTTTATCATTTCTTAATGTGATTTATTTGCCTTGTGTTTAGACTACTGCATGGTAAAGTTTATTTTGTGCATATACTTTTTATTTTACTAATATATTACAAGCCATATCTCAATGACCCCTGTACATTTTTCATGCTGTCTTACTCCCAATGGCCTCTGTGCATGTAAGTAACCTGTCAAGTGACAATGCCTCTTTATTTGCTTCTTGCTGTTTCCTTTCAAGAACTCCTTTTCTTTTATCAGCTAGTAACACAGAAGCATTGAAGTTCAGTCTTTAAGTGTGCCCTGTATTCCTCCTATCTTTGTATATTAAGGAATTAATCATTTTTCTTTTGCATTTGAGAACCCCACAATCATTAGTTAAATCCATGTAGACTGAGACACATCTTCTCCATGCCACTACTTTGTGATGAAGGCATTAATATGTGTCATTTTCTGGTGTTTGTTCCTGTTGTTTGTATCTAACATGACGTGGTTTTGTTCAAGAAGAAAATAAAGGATTGATTTCTTTTTAATTATTATTTTTCAATGGAAAAAGACACCTGCAGGCTTAGTTGGTTAGCATGGTAAAGCTGTTTAGTGTGTTGTAGATCATTATTATGAAATGAATTATTGATTTGTTTAAATAATGTGAAGTTGCAAAAATGACAAGAGTAAGAATTCCATTGTGGAATAGAAAAAAAATACAACTAAATTTTTGCTTGTAGTATTTGGGGAAAGGTTGAAAGAGATTCTTCTTCAGGATGAAATTCAAAATGCTTCAAATGGGCTAGGACGTTTTCATATCTGTATCTTTTCAAGGCCTTAAAGAGTTGAGTGTGTCAATTGGCTGATTTGTAGTTTCACCAAATTGAAGCCATTGGGCTTACTCAGGTAAAAAGACTGAAAAACTGATACCCACACTCATCCTAAAAGATGGATTGGATATAGCTGAGGTGGATACACCACTTAGACTTGGAAACACTCAGAGAGAGATTCCATAGTTTGGATGGAGTCTCTCCTGCCTCCTTTTCATAGCGTCAGAAATACAGAACTGAAAACTCTTGTTCATTATTCTGCTCCACAATTGCTGGTTGCTGCAGTCTTTACAAATACAAATAACTGCCTCCTGCCTGCTTCTGTCATTGGAATTCAGCAGGAGTTACCAGAGATGATGTGTTACTGGGCACAGGAGGAATAAGCTGTTATTAATGAACAAAACTTCATTTGGCAATCTCTATATTCCCTGGCAATTGACAACAGATTGATAGGCATGATGGAATTCATCCAATTTCAACTGCAGTTGAAATGATATCTGAAATAATACTTTTACAATTTTTCCCTAAATATGGTGGAGGTTCTTTTCTGTAATGCCATCACTTTTCATTAGAATTCTTCATTCTGTCACAAGTTTTAAAAGCATGTCAGTTTAATTAGCACGTGTGATTAAAGAGAACTCTAATTACAAGTGGTGTGGTTTGAAAGAATAAATACCACAAAGTATTAACACTGTGTATTTCTCATAGATCTTGTTAAAACATTATTATGGAAGTATCCTTATCTTCAGTGTAAATAGATGTTCTCATATTGTATTCATGTCAGTCACTGTCCACAAATTTTTCTTTAGTATTGCTATTTCTTAGGAATGCAAATGTGAATGGCATGCTGTTCTAGCTGATTTTTGTGGTCTGCTGAACACTGCATGAAAGGACATGCAAACTTTGCTGAGCATCTCGGTAGCTTTGTTACTGCTCTTAACAGTTTCTTAAATGAACACTCTTGTTAAAATTGCGTAAGGAATGAATGGTTTTATTTTCCATAACATGTTACTTTGTATTATAAATCTAAATCTTGCAAAAACTATAATTTGTAGCAGAATTAGTTGTCACCATTCATATGCCTTTTTTTCTTATCCTTTGGGGCTTTCTTTTGTGTTTTAGTGTTTGATCAATTAGATCTCGTCACATATGAAGAAGTAGTAAAGCTGCCAGCATTCAAAAGGAAAACACTAGTCCTACTAGGTAATTTTCAGTTATTTTTCTGAACATGAGCATCACAGCTTTGAAGCCCTTCTGGTGGAATATCTCTAAATGATTTTTTTGTGTTGACTCAGGTGCCCACGGGGTCGGAAGAAGGCACATAAAAAACACGCTCATCACAAAACATCCGGACAGATTTGCTTACCCCATTCCTCGTAAGTAGCAGGGCTCAGTGTGCTCCAGAGTTGTTTGTGTCCTCCTTGACAGCATCCCCCTTGTTCTACTGCCTGTGCTCAGCTCAGCTGAGACAAATCCTGCCTTGAAGGTGGGAGCTGTGTAGGACTGGGTGTGTTTCCTTTGCTTTTTCAAAGGGGACATTAGAACGTAACACCACTTTTGCATCAAATGTTCCTTATTATTCACAAAACTGCTTGTTAGACTTACTTCTCTCTACCCCAAATGTGTGTTAATTTAGAATGAAGGATAAAAGTTTCTTCATTTTTAACTGTGTATAATTCCCATGAGAAGAAATATGAGCGGGATATAGAGGGAAACTGTAGTGTTTTAATTACTTCACACAGCCAAGTCTTAAGGACTGGTATTGCACTAAAAGTTTCAAGTTTCCAGAGGTGACACTAAGTAAAAGAAAACACAATTAATTTCACTGCTTGCCAGTGGGTTGTTATGAAGAGCACAGAGGTGTTTTCCCTTCATGACAATCTCTATCAATACCCTGCAGGAACTGCAGATGCCATTACATGGTCCCTTGGAGATGCATCCTTTTTCCTCAAGCTGAGCACACCAAAACAAGAGCATCCAGCCCCTACCTGTCCACTCCATTTCAGACTGACCTCAGAAATGCCGTTCATGGCTCACAAGTGACACTAATTTAATTTTCTTCACAGAAACTAGTGATTTTATCTGCAGGTGCTTTTTAAATGGACTCACCTATGCCATGGTGAGCATGCCTTAGCTTGCCTGCATTAGGTTCCTGCTCTGTGGAAGCACTGAAATTGTTTCACTGGTTTTATAAAACTAAAAAGATGCATTTTCTGCACTCTTTCACAAAACCATGGTGTAGTAGGTAGCTTTTGAGATGGGCCTTAAATTGGGTGAGGAGTTTGGAAGAAATGAAGAAATTACCTGCATACTGAAAACCTGATCAAAGATATCAGGTCACACACAATGGCAGTAAATTCTAAAGATTAGTAGGCTGTACTTCTCTTACCACATAAGTCTGTAGAAGCAATATTCAAAAAAGTATATTATTCCTAAGTAGCTTTCACCTCTCTTGACCACAGGTAATCAGGTTTTTAAGCTGCTTTTCAGAACTACCTTTTCATACTTGTAAGAACCTCAGAAAAACATAAATTAAAAAAAAAAAAAGCAGAAATGTTTTAATCAGGTTTTTAAGCTGCTTTTCAGAACTACCTTTTCATACTTGTAAGAACCTCAAAAAACATAAATTAAAAAAAAAAGCAGAAATGTTGTAGTACAGAAGAGGATTTAGGAGAAATATGAGTATCTTAAGTTCAGTAGGCCCTAGGGACTCTACTGCTGCTTTTCCCACCACATGTCCCCAAACTCCTGCTTTTCCCAGTGCCTGTCATTCTGACTGCCTCATCGCCATTGCTCTGTGTGTGATCTGACAGGTCATTGAGTATTGATGAACAAACAGAAAAAAGAAGCCACATATAACCTTAATATTGCATCTGTACTTAAATATTTTGTATTTTCAGACACAACCAGACCTCCAAAGAAAGATGAAGAAAATGGCAAAAATTACTACTTTGTATCACATGACCAAATGATGCAGGATATATCAAACAATGAATATTTGGAATATGGCAGCCATGAGGATGCAATGTATGGGACAAAACTGGAAACAATACGAAAGATCCATGAGCAGGGACTAATTGCAATACTTGATGTAGAACCTCAGGTAACTAATTAGAAGTGTATAATTTATAAGGGCATCACAAATCCTTCAACCTTGTTTCATTGAAATGTTTTTATTGATTGCACACTAGGTAAGTGGTGCATAAAGTGATGTGAAACAGAAGTCCTTGAACCTCCAGGATATCAGTCTGTGGAATTCTGGTAATCATATGGTTAGAAGAACACAGAGGAGAAAGAAAAATCAAGCTCTCAAGAAACACTAATAGTTTATTTATTCATTGTAGAAAATCTGTGGAAAATTCTGATCCATTTCCTTTGAAACATCTGTGTAGTCATTACTTTCAATTCACAGGGATCTGTTTATATATTTTGTTAAGTGAAACAACATGAATGTAGACAATTGTGATGTTCATATTATTCTAGCAGGTGGAAGGAAGTGGGAGGAAGGACAAAATTGTGACCAGTGTTATCTACTTAAATTTGCTGACTTTGTTCTTCTTTGTGAATGGATTGAGGAAGTTCAAATTTTTCTAAGAATTTCACAACAGAAATGAAATACCTGGCTAAATTATTTAAGAGAATTCAGAATATGATGGTGTGGTGGTGTTCTTAAAAACAAAATCCCACATTTAACAGCATTCAGGGAGAGCAGCATTTATAATTAGTTCAAATGGAGCAGCTGTTAACAGCAAACCCTCTTGATAAACTTTTTCAACCTGAATTATTCAAGTCCTGTACAATTCTCAGAAGAGATTTTAATCTTTGTTAGAATATATTTATATTTGGTAACAGCTGCCTTTGCAGCTCATTTCCTCCAGCTCATTTCCAGCAAGCCACTTTGCTAACCAGCTTCCTCATTCATCCATCTCAGCTCACTGAGCCAACCTGTTTGTGGATTTATTCCTGGTTGTCTTACACCCCTTGCCTGTTCTCCCTTGGGCACTCCTATGGATTTTCTTGCATTTCACTTATGGGTTTTGCCTTTTTTTTGGAGCAGGCTGGCAGAGGTGATTCCTGTTGGTGGCAGCAGGGAGAAAATCTTTCAGCTTAAATAAAGGGTGGAATATGGGGTTTTTTTGTTGGTTTCTTTAAAAAGAAAAAGCTGTGGAGAAGATAGGAAATAGAAAGAGCAAACCCAGAGTGACCTTTAGCAGTCTGACTTTAACTTGTGCATCCCTCTGAGTTCAGCTGAGGTGTTTAACCCACTGTCCTGCACTTCAGTCCAGCCCAGGTCTGTGACAGTGTCACATATGGCAATTCATGTCACTCAGTTCATTAAGGCAACTCTTTAATGAGAGCTCTTCTCTTTTGCACAGATTTGGCTCAGGAGATTAGAGCTGTATTTATTGCATTTAGTGCTATGCTCAATTTTTAAACACTTCAAACTTCTCACATCACATTTCCATTTTTTTAAAAAAATATTTTTATAATAACACAATTTATACTTTAATCAATATTCTAAAACAAAGTTGGCTCTTTTCCCTATCTATTCTATAACTGAATTTTTTTATATGGCATTTCATCAGTCAGTTTAAATGTAAACAGAAATCCACACTCTTTGAGACTGTATAGGGCACTCTGAAAATGCTTTTTTACTGAAAGCTCTGAAAAAGCTTTCAGTCTCAAAAACTCACTTTGATTAAGGAGAAATACATGTTTGGACCACCAAAAATGTAAATAGGTGTCTGTATTACTAAGGTCTTGACTCCAATTCAGTAAAAACAAATCCAGTATTGGTAGATCATGAATTTGTGTCTTTTGCTTTTGTGACTAAACTTACTTCACATTGATTGTTGGAGATTTCCTCTAAAGTATCTGATTTTTTTTTTTTCCCCCTAGGCATTGAAGGTCCTGAGAACTGCAGAGTTTGCTCCTTTTGTTGTTTTTATTGCTGCACCTACGATTACCCCAGGCATTAATGAGGTATGGCACGTTGCAGTCTGATGTCCTGGCAGAGACAGAATTAATTATTAGATTCAAATGTGCAAATCAGACTCTTCAATTGTTTCCCTGTCTGTAAATGAAAAGGCAGAAAAATAATTGAATAACAGCTTTATTAAGTTGATTGACATACATTTATTCTTTATGAAACATTAGCTCAAAATGTGGGCTTCAAGAGGAAGGACCCATGTGCTGTATGCTAAAAGTACATATTCTATTATTTCATTCTCTGCTCCAGCTCAGAGAGCCATTTCCAAATCATTGGCACAAATGACTCAATTGTGAGTTGCAATGCCAGCACTGATCCCACCTTTAGCCTTAGCATTTTCCCTGCACAGCAAATATGTATCAGAAATAACCTTGTTCATTTTGACAACTGTCCTCTAAAAACTGGAATCTTTGACCCCAGAGGTAATTGTTTGTGGAACGATGCTGAGTATTCCTGGAGGTCCACATCATCCATTTCCTACTTAGTTTCTATAGGGTATCTGCTCTGCAGATTGCTGCTGATGTCAAGGATACCCAGCAATTCTGGGTTTAGCTGACACTCACACAAATTCCATTTTCACAAACACTTAATTTGCTCAGTCTTCCTTAAACCATCATATTAAAGTATTTAATCTGTTGGATTTGATAATGAATCTGTTCCAAATACCCTAGATGTCTCCTTGATCATCAAAACACAAAGTCAGAAGCCATGTCACTACAGGAGGTTTCTATAGAAATGTAATTACAATATCATAAGCATGAAGCTGTGACATCACTGCAGAGGCTTGCAGGAAAGGAAGGAGCCAGAAAAGCACATTTAAATGCAAGTAACCTGAATGATTATTCAAATCAAAAGTGGAAAGTGAAGAATTTTGGCCTCAAGCTGGAATTTTACTGACAGCTGAGGCATTTTGCTAGTTCACTATGATGCTTTAGTGAGCTACTTTAGCTCTAAATTGGAGTTTTGTCAGTTTTTAAGCACCAGTGCTAGAACAAGCAGTGAAAGAGGGACAGGAAGGGGAAGAAGGCTCTATTCACTTTCACAGCATTAAGTTTTGTCATTTCACTGTGTGACCCACACCCTAATGGTACAACCCAAGAGTGTAAAAACAAAGATCTCTCAGCACAGCAGAACTTGCCATGTTAGTGAGCTGATACTTCAGGTAACTGCTGGTGTGATGCTGTGAATCAGTACAGTCTGGATAAAATACTAGAATTTAGTCATCTGCACTGAATTTTCCTTTGTGTAAACAAATAGCATTGCATCAGCTACCCTGTAAAATTACATAATTGCTCTGGTTTGTTGCCTCCATACTGCCCCAGCTCCCAGACAGTCTTTCCTTGGCCTCACTCATCTGCCAGTGGTACTTAAATTTTAATCTTCCAGTTAGGATGTAATACAGAGATAGCTGGGACTGTTCATGTGAGGGAGAAAACGTTTTCCCAGATACACTAGGAAGAGAACAGAAATGTGCCTTTTACAGTAGTGGTGGGGAAGTACTTCATGTCAGAGAGTTAGAAGTAAAATATTGTGTTGGTGCTGCAAAACCTGTTTTAAGTTCCTGTGACAAAAGTCTCTGTGCCCACAGGGTTTCACCCAGGCACATGAATTGCTGAGCCAAGGCCACACTTACAAACCATGCTAATTTGTTAATCAATTAAAGCTAAGGAAAGGGAGGGGCAGGCAATGGTAATAGCTACAGCCCTTACCCAAACACGGGATTCTGTTTGCCAAGGTTTTCTGGGCAGATAAGCAAAGTGTGTCTGTGTGTAGCAGCCTGCAGGGCAGCAAGCAAGGGTGAGGAGAGTGTGTTTCCTATTTCCCATTCATGCTTCCTTTTTGAAAGGTTCATTTGCATAATGATTGTCCCTTTCTGTTGGTCCTCTTGCTTTATTTTACTTGCACTTTTTGAGAACACTTCTGTAATGACTGTCCTTTTTTCCCCTTCCCATGTTTTCTTAAAATTCATCTTTGCTTTTCTTTTCATTTTCCTGCATTCGTACTAATTGTACATAGCTGCCAAAATGGTGCAGAAAACTGCCTGTAAGTACCAGCTAGGGGCTCACAAGGTAGTCCTGGTTATTGCAGTAGTTCTAGAATGTAGACATGCTTGTTCCCATTCAACTTCAACTTTTGCCATTGGAGTCAAAATTTAATATAATAATGACTTTTGATATCTGCACTAAAATTATCTGCTAGCAAAAAGAGAATCTATGAAGTAAAAATTCTACTCTTACAGATGTATATCTGAACTTAAAACCAGTGCAGAGGCCTGATCCTAACAATGTCTCTCTTGAGGTAATTTATCCTGTCAAAGACCACACAAAATATCTCAGTAATCGAGGCCCACACAGCAAGAGTCAGGAGACAAAATATTATCCTTTCCAGTGGATATAGCAATGCACCCTGAGCAGTCCTGCAAAGCACAAGACCAATGTAAATCATACAGGCAATCTCCCAGAGTGCCCCCACCTGTCTGATCACAGAGGAAGCTTAAATCTGATGGTGGTTGTGCTAAAACAGAGGAGAGAGTGCATCAGGAAACCTTGGGGCAGCTCCTCTTTCCTCCAGCTGTTCCTGCCTCCTTTGCCCACACAGCAGCAAAGAGATCACAGCCTCCATTTGTTTGATGTAGACCTTATTGAGCCAAATTCTTCAGACTTCTAGCTGTGCTTCCTCCCTTCCTACAGCCAAAGGAATTTTTTTTTAGGAAGTCTAGAGCCCACCAGCTGTTTAAATTGTGAATTTCTTTCTGTTGAAGCAACACTGGTAAAGGCCTGATGGTGTTTACACATTGTCCACAGCCTTAGAAGGGAATATTAGTCATTTTTTGGGCTGGGCTTTGATTGCCACAAGTGGCAGCTGTTGTTCTATGTACTTTCAGGGTAAAAAAGCCCAGCCCTCAGAGACTGAAGATGCCACTGGTGGCCTTTATGTACCTGGGGTATTTCATGGGCAAAGCCATGTTTCACTCCTTTCAGCTGTGGTGGAAAAAGAGAGATTAGGAAAGTGAAATGAATTAGGAAGAAAAAGTCTGATCCAGTAATGGACACACTGCAACTAGACCCATATAAAATTCCTCTTACACAAGAGCTGAGGGAAGAAGGAAATGCAGATGTTGTGCTCCCAAATGTTAATTTCTGAAGTTTTGGCCATTCATTTGCCTGCAGTTCACTGAACATTTTGATAAATATCTTCTTTCTTGACACTATTGAGAGCACAACTGCTGAAGAATTTCCTTCTTGGAACATAAGCTGGGATGTTCAGTATGCAAAATTTAATTAAGACATTTTAGAGAAATTGAGAGGAACTTACTGCAGCAAATACTTTGATTACAGCTAGCTTCAAAGATGAATTTTGGTATTTAAGTCTTGCAGACTCAGAGAAAACAGCCAAGTGTGACATGTACAAATAGATATTCTATCACAAACACAGGCAAAAGTTCGTCCCAGAATGAAACAAAAATCAAGAGCTTTGATCTCTTTTCCTTTTGCTGAGCTTAGGAAAGTTTGAACCTATTTGAAACTTATTGCAATGGCCTATGCCAAACTTACTACTGCCCATTAAAGTATATGAAAGTAATGGTTTACATTTCCAGCAGTCTGGGAAATTTAGATATTCCAAAATAAAGACCACTTTGATCCCAGTGAGTTGGATCTAGGAGAAGCTAAGTCAGAAGAATACTGACATTGAATGAATTTTTAAAACACTTAGATTTGTGGAACCTTTGTGTGTGCAAGGTAAACTTTACCAGTTCACTTTTTTTAAAATGAGATAGCTCATTTTAGAGATAGCTCAAAATGAGTAAGATTTTCAGATTTTCATTGTCAGTCACAGTAGGATAGATGCTTGAGTGAGAAGAGTCCATATCTGTAGGCAAAAGTAACATTGATGGGAAATCTGAATAATAATTCAAAACCTGCATGAGGACTTAACAGTTCTAGGGCTTCCAGGGGCTTCTCAGTACTGTTAGCCCTGTGTCATGAGATCAAAACTCTTCTCAAGGTGCACTATGATTTGGACAAGACAGACTATAAATACAAAATTAATTAATGTAAAGCATTGAAAATAGTCTGCATGAAAAGTTACTGACCTTCCTTTGTAGGTTAATTTAAGCAGGAAAGGTTTGGTGCTCAGCTGATACAAATTGATGTCTCTTCTGGAATCTCTGAGAAGTTGAAAGTTCACCTAACTAGGGTTTTCACTGGGCCATATGAAATATTCCACAAAAATTTTTCATACTAGTGTTGATCCACTTTGTTCTCTTTATTAATAGCATAAATTAAATTTGGAAACACTGGAATTTTCTACAGAAGTTCCAGGAGTTGCTGGTGGTGCAAAATGGCCTGTACAGGGAACATCCCTTGTACAGAAGTGCATGTGAGGTGTATTTGCCCGACTTGGAAGGAAATTTGTAATAATTTTCAAGTGAAGACAGCCACACCACACAGCCCCCTCCCCATTTGAGGCTGCAGCTTCAGGAGAGAAGCAGAACTGTAACTCTGGCAGAGAACTTCTCCTCCAGAAGTGGCTGGTTTCATTCCTGCAGGGAAGGAGAACTGTCTCAGAGCAGGTTGTTTCCTTGAGGGGACCTGAAAGCTGTTGTTCCACAGCTACTTGTCACTGTAGTTACAAATACTTGGGAAGCTGAAACAGAAACAAATAAAGGTGGAGGTCATCTTAACAGCTGGATAAAAATCTATTTCCAGAATAATTTCTGGTGACAAAGCTGTGGGCACTGTGTCTGTACTTCTGCAGCCTAAAACTCTGTTTAGCAAAGTGTGTCCCAGCTGATTGATCAGGTAGAGTCAGCCTATGGATACTGCAGAGCAGCAGGAGTCACTTGGCACCAAATCCACCCCAAACCTGTGGGACAGGAAAGACTTGATTGCTTTCCTGTGGCTATTTCAAGGTTTCTGAAAACAGCAAATGAGTTTGTTGGGTTTTTTTAATTCATAAGGAAATTTGCAGGAAGAGAATTCAAACTTATAATTGCTACAGAGCCCTGGGAAGAAGCCTTTTGCACCCAGCTGCCTCAGGCAGGCAGACCTCACTAACACAGCTCTGATGTCCAGGCTGCCTGCTGCATCTGCAGGATCTCCCACTGAGAGGGGCTGGAAATGCCCTGCTCTGAGATAGAAACCACAGAGCAGTGATGTGGAGTGAGAGCTTCCTTAGCAGTAAATTGTCATTAAAGGAAGCAGACCCAGAGGATTGGTGTGGAACAGAAAACATTACCAAAAGTGGGAACAGCTGATGCCTGACAGCCTCTCCCCCTCCTCCCTTTTCTCACGCTCTCACTGGGACATAGGCCCAATAGTTATTACTTGTGCACCAGGTCTGATTTATTCACATGTGGTCTCCATTGCTGCTTTTCCAAGCTTCCATCCTCTACCTTGCTTTTTTAACTCTAGAGCTGTGTTTTGTCTCCAAGAGCGTCAATAACCGAGTGCTGTTTGAGTGTCAGCTTCCAGAGGGAAGCTGTGCCCTTTCTCCCATGTCATTCCCATAGCTGTAGGTGGGAGAGCTAAAGCACCTCAACTCCCTGAGGCCTTTTTGCCCATTTCCTTCTCAGCTGAGAAGCTGTTGTGGGAGAGATCAAAAGAATCCAACTTTTCTTTTCTCCCGTTTTCTCTCCCGGCCGCCGCACAGGATGAATCCCTTCAGCGCCTGCAGAAGGAGTCTGAAATCCTACAGAGAACATATGCACACTACTTTGACCTAACAATTATCAACAATGAGATTGATGAAACCATCAGGCACCTGGAGGAAGCCATCGAGCTCGTGTGTACAGCCTCCCAGTGGGTCCCGGTCTCCTGGGTCTACTAGACCGGGAATGAGAGAATTGAGGAGAAAGAAATAATAATAATCTGTCATTACTGGGAACCACCTCATACATGGAAAACCTCTTCGTTATTGACCTTGTGTCAACAGGTCTTGGCCCCTAGAGACTACCTAGATGTAGTGTGACCTAAAATATAATTATTGTCATGTCCGAATAGATAGGAGGAGGGGGAAGAAAAGATGAAACACTAATTTAAAGAGACAGTATCTTTTTTTTTAATCATTTCTCCTAAACTTTTAATAAAATGTATCTTTAAATATATGTACTATTCAGTCTTTTGGAATGTTATATTTTTGGAAATCATAGCTTTTTATTTCAAGGGCCCCTAAAAACTGCACAAAATAGATGCTGCTTTCTATAATCTATTTTAATAGTAATAATAATATGATTCTGTTACCTTAACTTGGGGGTGGAACACTACATTCTTTTTAGAGTCTGATTTTATGGATTGGAATACTTTGCTTTCCTTTATTTATTTGAAGTAATTAGTCTAGTGGTTACAAAACAAATTCATAAATTTTAAAGGCCTTTTTTTTTCATGCTTTTGTTTTTTCTCTCCTAGGATAGTATTTTTTAGTACTTTTGTGTAACATCCAGATAATGTGATACTGTCTCTTTGAAGAACTCTGTAAAAGTTTTAGAAATTTGAAATTGGGTCTTGACTCTTAATGCATGTGGACAGTCGCAAGCGTTCATGCCGTTGGTGTATCTGTGTTGATAAAACCTGTAATCTACAGCAAAGTACATTCCGTTCATGGGAACACGTACCCAAGGGAATAAAGCAAAATATTATTCTGACTAAGTTGTAAACCTATGCACATCCCTTGCATTTTGGGCAACTTTCTAAAAAAAAAGAAAAAAAAAAGAAAAACTGATTTTTATTAATAATAATCATGTAGTGAAATGTGTTTGTAATTTTGTCTCAATTTAATTTGTTGTAAGGTGGGAGGGGGCAATTACTGGTTTCACCATTTCAGATCTGTGTTGTCTGAGAGTATTAACGTTTTAATTAAGTTGAAGCAAAGAAATGCTGATTTTTAATATGTATGTAATTGTTTAAAGATGCACACATTTTAAAAGAAAATACTGTGCAATGAAGAAACCAGTTTAGACATTGCGATAAACTGACTATTCCAAAAGACTCATCTACAACAGCCCTGTAAATTCCTTTAAAATGGTAATTGACTCTACAGTCTGACCAAGTTTTTTTTTATTTTAAATATACTTCCTTTTATGTGTTCAACAATTAAATGCTTTTGGGTCCTTCATTTCATCACAGGGAGTTTCAAGAGCAAATCAGTGACTCGTGCAGTGAGGGAAAGTGTCTTAAAGTCTTTAAGGGAAGCCTTTGTAGGGACACAGCCTGCAGCCTGCTCCCAGGGGCTCTGCTCCTCCTGGATCAGCACAGGCTTCCTTCCTCAAAGCTGGAATTAGGGCAGAGCCAACTAAGAAGGTGTAACCATGGATGGACCTGGCACTTCATTTTCCTTCTTCGTGCTCTCACTGGCCCACGTGATTTACGTTTTCTCTGAAAATGGTTAAAGGCAGTGGGCATTGCCACCTCTTTTTAGGTGTCAGAAGCATGCTGTTCCTTAAAATGACTTCTCCTCAAAGAAAAAAAAAGCCTCTGTTGGCTGTGCTGTTGTATAGTGTGATTTTTAGTGTTTATATTAAAATGAAACAGCGATCCAGGATTTTTCTTCACAGTGGAACTTGCAGCTGGAGTTGGTCTCTGGGCTGTTCCAGTTGTTTGGGACCATTGCATGTGCAATCAGAAAAGGGTTCTCAAGGTTGAATGTTTCTCACAAGGATAATCCTATTCCTAATTTTCTTCTGCCTACTCCTGCAGGTTGGGTGGTCAAATCTGTTTACAATTCTTGTAAAATCCACATCTGAAATCTCAGTCTGGCTGTGCCTCCTGTGCCCAGCCAGGGCAGGCAGAGATGTTTATTTCCTGCAGCATTCACAGCCCAGCTTGCAGCCCACAGAAGGGAAATTCATCCCTCACTTTGGCCCAGCTGCTGAGTGTCCTTAGTGCCACAGCTGGAACCACAGCTCTGTGGCTGCATCCCAAAAACAAGAGCTGTACCTGAGTCCCTTGAGTTTGTGGGAAGTAAGGGATGAGAGAGTCAGCGTGGGCCTCACGTGGAGGGAAACGAGGGAGCTGCCAGAGGAGCTGTAGGTGCTCATCTGTTCTGGGGTTAGCCCCACGAGAAGGGGATGGTGCAAACTGTGAACTCTTTAGTGAGTAAGAGGTAATTTTTCAAGTGCTTGTGTTGTTTAGCCCTGGTGAAGCGTAGCTGGTGTCCTGCAGGCAGCTGTTGCAGTGAGTCCACACTGGCTGAGCTCATGGAAGTGACAGGTTCATTCACTCTCAGAACTACCTCTTTTCCCAGCAAAGCACAAAGATGGGAAGACCTACTGAAAATCAAGCAGTGGAGTGTTTCTGATGTTAGAAATACAAACTTCTCTGGTGAGCATTGGTGTCTGACTGCAGTGACACGTTTTTCATCTCAAATGTTTATGGCATTACACAGGTAAAGTAATTTTGATAATTCGAGTATAGTCCATCATAAATGTTTTAACTACACTTTTGACTCTGTTAATGTGAATTTCTTGGAGTTCTGTGTATCCAGCTTGTAAGGGAAGGAAATCTCACAAGGCCCATGAGGGTGCTTCTGCCTTATGTAGATGACAATAAGTAGTGATTTGGTGTAACTAATTCCTTTTCTTCTCTGAAGTGGAACTACCATTCAGTTCATGCCACACAGTAGAGAGATTGACCTGGAGAGCTTTGTTTCTTTTATTCTCACTGTATAACCTTTTATCAAGAGACAAAAACTGTAAAGCACACACTTAGCATCCTGTCTCGCCTCCCCTTTACCACAGTCTGTTTTCCTTGTAGGAACCTTCAGTAGCAAAAGATTAAATTGGAAACCCTGCCTAGGCTTTAAGTTCAGCAGATCCACAGCACACAGTGAGCTCCACGAGCAGATTTCAGCACAGTCCCAGACAGAGCAAGCCCAGGACTCCTCAGTCTGTCCAGTCCTCCCACCCTGTTCAAACCCTTCTGAACATTTCTGTTGTTTGTGTGGTACACAGAGGGCAAAATTCTGCAGAAATTGAGCTGGAAGCTTCACCTGCATAGGGAAGGCTCATGCAGATGCAAAGCTGTTGTTACAGTTTGTTATTTTTTTCAGTCTCCAAGTGGAGAAGGGTCCTCCTGGTACTGTAAATATCACTGCATAATTTGGAGCACCACATGGACTTCTCTAAATTTATGCTGAATGTGACCTCAGAAGCAACCCTGGGATTGGGAAGAAACAAATGTTTCTGTTTGCCCCTTTTATACTTTATTTTTGTACAGGGGCTCATAGATTTGTAAAGAAAACTTGATCTTATCAGTATGCTGCCTCTCAGTCTGACTGATGCCTGTGATTTCAAGGTGTTAAGTTGGTCCAATAAATGTTCATTAACCTCTGCTTCCATTTACCTAATAAAAGTACACTAGGTTACTCAGTGTCTCAGAGTGGTAAGATTATTGCATGGAAATGGTAGCCCAGTTTAGGCTCCTGGCCACAGCCAGATGGACATTTCTTAATCTCATCACTAAACCCAAATTCTTCCATGTGTTTTAGCAGTGGTTTTCTTTTTATATGATTTGGTCAAGAACAATGCTGTGCCACTCATTGCCCTAAAAGAAAACATCACTACCTACCTCAGAAACTTCATGAAGAAGGTTACTCAGTTGACTTTGAGAACACAACAAAGAAGAAGAGATGTTGCAACCTGATCAACACTGGGGCGGTGTGTATTCTCCAAAAACTGGGTACTAGAGCCACTAGGAAAATTTAAAGCACAGACTAACCAGTATTTGTTTCATTTTTATTCTTTTCTATAAGGAAATTATTTTCAGAGTCCTGTTGCTTAAAGAAATACTTGGCAATGCTGCCAGAGCTTCCAGAGGTGCTTTGCAAATCTGCTTTGCAATCCTAGATGCAAATAGATCTGTCCCCATTCTCTTGCACTGCAGATGGTATTCAACAATTTAATGAAGGCTGTTAGAGCTCAATTTCAGGCTTTAAAATACTTAATGGAAAAGGATTTTTGAAAACTACAGAAAAATATATCTATTTCCTGACTCTTATAGTAAAGAGTTATCTGTTTTAAGCTCAGTTGACAGAGGATGAGCTAAAGCAGGCACCATAAAAAGTCTGCTTTTTTACGTGAAACATATTCATTTCCTTAATAGACCTGTCTCTCAGACTAATTTCTTCTCTACCTTTAATGAGCTCAGAGATAGTCATAACTCTTACCAAGGAAACTGCTGCACATTATGTCAAATAGTCACATATAAATCAAAATATCTGCACAACAGGAAGCACGTCACTGACCAACAGAACAGAAGTAAATTCTGAATAATTGTGCCTTGTGTCTTCACCATGGGGACAAGTGCACAAGCTTAGGATAAAGGAGACTATTTTTACTAATGCTACACAAAAAAAAAATACAAAGCCACTTCCCACATTTAAATGTTTGCAGTGCTTTGGGGTTTTTTTGCTTGCTGATACAGTAAGTGCACCGATAGTTATTTCTACTTTTCTCCCCTTGAGTGATTTTTAACACTCTCCTGCTCTAATCCTGTGAAAGCTGGACTGAAGCAAGTACAAAAAGCTTCTTGACTCCTTAGAATTTAGCCTCAGAGTTAAGCCTCTCTCAGACCTGTACATGAACAAATAATTAATTCTTACCTCAGAAATACATTTCTCAGTTGAGATTTTGGGCAGGAAGTTGATGGTTTCTCATGTAATCTTAAGCTTTCTAAGCAAAAATAGTGGGAAGGGGGAATGTCTATGCATTTCCATGCATCCTGCTGAAGCTCTTAGCAGCTGCCATTGGACAATCAAAAACATTAAATCTGGCCCCATCTCTGTGTTCTTATTAAAATGTAGCTTGAGCTTACATTGGTGTTGTGGAAGATAACTGAACTAATAGCTGTATGCTTGAAAGAATTTGTGTTGATTATTAGCAAAGTAATACTTGCAAATTCTCCCTTAGCACCAGCCATAGCTGTTTTAGTGTCTGCATAATGGAAACACCCATGAGGAAGGGTGGAATTGGCTTATTTTTTAGTTTAGCCCATCTCAAAGCTGGAACATGAATCTGTGTTTCTCCATTGTTGGCGATCCAGGTGGAGCCCTCAGCATTCTTCCCAGAATGTAAATAGATGCAAAACAGCAGAATTGCCTCATACTTGGGTCTGTCTTTGTTGCCACCTGCTTCCCCACACAGTTACACACTCCTACAAACTTGATTTTAAGGTGCATTTTCCCACCAGTCAGAAAATGTTGCTTATCCCTCAGTATTACTTCGCTCAGTATCACTCAGTATCCTTCACTTAAAAGGTCTCTGAAGGTTCATGTTCACCTCAAGCACAGGAAGCCCCCTGTGATCCATAGCACACACTGCAGTTACTAACTACAGTAAAAAATAAGAAATCCAAAACAAATCCACAAACACAGTAAAGCTCAGCAAGAAAGGTCTGCAAGGAGGGGGGGAAAGGCAAGAAGTTTGCCTTTGCAAAAAATATTTTAAAATATTTAAAGCCTTCATATTAAATTTGGAATAGAAATTAAGATTGGGCAAATTGGAGAGAAAATAAAGATCTATTTTCAGTGAACATAATAATGAAATCAACCTAATAAAACACAAACTAAATTCACTTTTTTTTTTAAATAGCTGCAGGTAGAAAAAGGAACTGGGAAGTTCTCAAAGTATAACAAAGCATCTTTGATGCTAGTAAATAATTGCATCAGGTACTTTGTAAATTACACAGAATCAGAATCATTCAAGTTAGAAGAGACCCCTAAAAACATTGTGTGCAAACTTGGACATCATTATATGAAATAAACCTTTGCTCTAAGTGCCACATCCAGTCATTCCTTGAGCACCTCCAGGGATAGTGACTCTGCCACTTCCCTGGGCAGCCACTCCCAATGCTGAACCATCCCTTCAGTGAAGGAATTGCTCCTGAACCTTGGTGCAGCTTGACCTCCTTTTAAAAATAGAATTAACAGCAGCTTTGCTGCTGGCTGCTCTCTTTTGGTCTGGCCAAGCCATGTATGTTGCTGGTTTTTTCAAAAGTTGTGTATGTTATGGCCTGCTCTTTTGTTTTTAATATCTCAAAAAAATGTTTTATTTGCTATGAAAAACCTCTTTAAAAAAAAAAAAAAACTAGGATACTGAATTAC